AGAAGATTGTGGAAGAACTGCTACAGTATGAAATCTTGACAGGAAGGGTATGTCTTTCAATTTCGACGGTGAAACCAAGCATTTAAGTTCAAGGACTGCTAGATTGAATAGGCAATTGTTCTTGGTCTATTTTGGATCTATTAGCTGAACTTCTTGGCCAAACTAATTTGCTTTACGGGTCGGGGATATAATCTTGCAGTGTTACGTTGTAAATATGGAGAAGATTTTTAGTGATGTCTCCTCATTGCCATTAGTTTCATCCTAGTGTGGTCTTTGCTTAAACTAGGACTTATTCATTGTCCCAATATGCTTAATATTCCGTTTGTCTTTCCAAAACTTCTTTCACCAAATGAGTAGAATACTATTTGCAGCCTTCTTTCTGTAAACAAAATGCTAAACTGTCTCATTATCTATATGACTGAACCTGAATTCCATGAACATCTCAAATGCTTTAGAGAGATGACTGGAAGAATGCTCCTAATGCACTTTGAGGATGCATTAGAAGTAAACATTCCTGTGATTCTCAAAGTTAAATCCCCAAATCATTTTATCGACTGAGGGCAGAGCAAAAACTCAAAAAATGAACTCAAAAAAATAGAAAGAAAGAAAGAAATAGTGCAGAGAAGGGATGTGCAGACACTGTACGTGTGTGTTTCTATACACACAGGTAATGGTGTTTCTTATATTAATCTGTTTAAATTCTAAGGATTTCCATGACTTAAGTAGCAAGATCCTATTTTTATTCTTTTTTGGAATATCGACAAGCTCATCCATATTTCTGCAGGATCTCGAAAGAATTATTGCAGACAATGGTGGGATTCGAGAAAGAGAGCCATTTTTTCTTTCAAGTACCAGTGCTGAAGAGGTATAGTTTCCAAGCTGTACATGAAATACTGAAATTTGATTTCACTCGCATATCATTCATTCTGGAATGGGAGGAAATGTTGCTATGCTGGGCTCAGCTTCTAAAATTCACTCTGTAGAAGTAAAAGAAACAGAAAAGAGTAACCTATTTTCATTTTGCAGGCCGTGGTTAGTAGACTTCTCGATGAAAAATCATCGGGTACTGCACTTTTAAATGCCGCCAACTAGTGTCGAAAAAGATGTCGGTCGAGTTTCATGTGCGCTTGGATGCTAGTCGTTCCACCGGATATATTTATAATACAGGCATAATTCAAGCGTAGGGCTGACGAGATTTTTCAATTTTCCTTCACAATACTTTTTGGTTTTTCTCCCAGTGTTGTTTGTACATAATTATGTATTCTAATGACATGTTTGGTAAGGTAGAGTGGAAAACGATAGATTATGCATTTATGATTGATATGTAATAAATATTTGGAGCAAATAAAAAACACACCCCCTCCCTTTTTAAAAGTTTTAGAAACCTCCGTTGACATTTAATTTTTGTAACAAATGCTACATTTCTCATTTTACTCTTGTATTTTATTAAAAATTTTATTGTTCTGTTTAAACTATTTATTTCCTTTTTTATTTCATAAGTTATACTCTTTCATACTCTTCTTTTTGATGAAACCATTTTAGTTAAAAGAACACCATTATAAATCTTATATGAAATTTGAAAAATTATTAATAAGATTTTTTTTTAATTCAAATATGATTGATAAATAATTAACAAATCAACATGAAAAATGTTTTATAAATATTTAATAAATCTAGTTAAAAATTTCAATACCATGACAAGTATTGTTATAAATAAATTTATTAAATCATATTTCAAGTAAAAGATTTTTAATAAAGCCTGGTGAAAATCATTAAGTACAATAGTAAAATAATTAACAAATTAACTCTTAGCATAATTTAAAGCATCTTCGTTAGTGATTATGAGATAAGAAGGCAAAAATGATGGTGGGAATAGTAAAATAATGGTAAAAAAATTGATTTTTTGGGATGTAAAATTGCTACGAAAGGGGGGCTTTATAAAGCTAGTTGAAAATTCTTAAATGTTTTCTATTTCATATTTGAGTAGTATTTTCTCTAATTTTTGAATTTTTTACGCCCCTTATAATTATAAAGATGCAAAAATATCGCATTAAATGTTTAAATCCTACATTCTTTTTATTTCATCTTTTATTATTGGATCATCAAAAATATTTTTTAAGTCTCCATTTGGTAGAAATTAAAATCTAAATTTTGATTTAAGTTAAAATTAATAATTAATTTTAATTATATATTTCATGATATCTACAACTTTTTAACCACATATTTCATTAATTTTTATCAAAATCTGCTAAAAATTTCCATCAAATAAGAGCTAAATAACTTTATACAGAAATATAAAAATCAACTTTTAAAAAATAATTTAATTGTGTAAATTAAAATTAAGGGGAAAAAAAGGTAAAAATGTAAATGTAATCATATAAGTAAGTATAATATAAGAGGGAAGGACAAAATAAGAAATTTATGTTAAATAGTGGTTGTTTTCGAAATTTCTGAAAAGAGAAAAAGTGTCTCTGCGATATTATAAGTTTTAGGGGAGGATTCTAAAATTTGCTCTAAATTTTGCCATTAATTTGCATTCATTGGTGTTTGAGCCTCATTTGGAGTGAAAAAAATGAATTTTTGAGTAGTGTATTGATAAGAAATTTGTGATTAAAAAATAAGAAAGTTTTTTGAATTTGCGTGTAATATTATTTTATGATGTGTGATTGAAATTATGTCAAAATACTGTAGAATGATGCATTTTTTTTCCTAAGAATGGGACTCGAACAAGCTAAGAAGTAAAATTATGAAATTTCACATCAATTACAGCAAAGGTCTCAAAGTCTTCAACTCCAAGTAAAGATGCTTGTGATGAATTATAGTTCCTGAAAGTTTTAATTTCTTTTTATTTATTTTTTGTATTGGAGTTGAATTGAATATTGTTTGAGTTGGGTTTAATGTACTGATTTTCGTTTTGTGTGTTTGTGTAGAGCATATTATTTTTTCTTATTTGCTTATTGAGGAAGTTAGGCCATTTCTTGCAATTAAATAAAAAAAGTTAAGAAAATCGGGTTTTATTTGCTTACTTTTCATTAGGTAAATTCTAATTGAAACATATGATCATCATACATGAATACATCTATAGCCTGCGTTCTATATAAAATATTTCTAGTCGCTGTTTGGTGAGGATTAAAATTAAATATTTAGTCGATTTTATATAGATCCACGGAATACATGTTTAAAATTAATTGTCGAATTGTGTTTAGATTAAAATTTGCTACTAAACATGGGATTAATAGTAATTGTATACAGAAGGTAATTTTGTCAAAGTATACGAGGATAAGTTTATAAATGCATGTCGATCACGATGTTAGACTTTTCTATTATTAACAACAAATCGTTGACACAACAATAATTAAGGGAATTAATCAGGTCACAAAATATGAATGTTATAACAATATATAGCATGTGTGCTACGTATGATTTCTTTAATAGGACTAGTACACTAAGGAAATTTTGTCGGTATATAATGACGAGTTTATAAATATTTGTTGATCATGACAACCGAACATTTTTTATGATGACAACTAATCATCATCACGTACAAGACAACAATTGAATACAATTAATCTATCACAAAACATGAATGTAGTAACACTTATACGGAGGAGTTACTAGAATCAATGAATTGAACCAGAACTAGAATCAATCGATTCGATCTGGCTCTACTTAAGTTCTAATTGATTCTGGACATTAAAATTGAGAACTAGTTGATTTTGGTATTGTTTTTTATTCTAATATTAAGAACCAAAAAAACTCATTTAAAAAAAAAAAAATTTATTTTTAGTGCAAAGCACCAATCATTTTTTTTCCTTATCAATTTTACAATGGTACATCAAATTCATATTCAATTTAATATTGTATTATTTATAAACTCATATACCTTGATCCATTAAATTGCATAGATGTAATTTTAGATTAATAAGAGGCTCGAATTCCTTTCATCCTTTTCAAGTTAGCATTTTCAACCCCTCAAAAGTATAAAGAATATAGAAATGATATTGGAACATGTTTTTAAAGAACTCATTCAACTTAATAGTTAAGCATTTGATGTAAATTATTGCATTTAGTTAAATTTGGAAAATGCAAATCATTAGCATCAATATAAAACGTTTTAATGAATATATTATAGAGAATTTAGATATAAAACAATTATAACTTGAAAACGTATATAGTTAGACACTTCATTTGCATTGATTGGTGAATTCGAGAACTCAACACATGGAACTTAGTTTTGGTTTAGTTCCAAATTAGAGATGGAACCGGTGATTCAATTTTCAAAACAACCATTGGTACTTGATTCGATTCTCTTTAGGATCGACCCAAACTGAACCACTCTCACTCATACACTTAGGGTTGTGTGATATGTAAAATTTCTTTAGAAATGCTAGTACACATGAAATCATATTAGTTTTAATGAGAACAAGTTTATAAATACTTGCTTGTTACGAAGACTACGCACTAGACAACCATTGAATTCTTGTCTACCACGTGACCAAACTTTTCGATTAATTAACAACTAAATGTTTGTTTTGGAGAATTATTTGAAGGGAAATTATTATTATTATTTTTTTTTTGTGAATATATTGTTAAAAAGTAGAAAACAGTAATGCATTCACATGCAAAATTATTTTATTAAAAAATTGTGTAGTTCAAAATGAATTTGAAGAAAATTGATTTTCAAATTAACTTTAACGAACAAAAGCTAATTGTCACACGCACACGACAACATCACAAAACACATTTTTTACATAAATGTTTAGCAATATTTCTTTTAAATGGAACATAATCAGGTTTAATAAAGGAAGCTACTATTTTCATCTACCATTCTCATATGGCTAAATATATTCACACCACATTTTTAATTAACCACACCACATTTTAATTACAATGAATATCCCTAAGTTTATCTTATTTTCACACTTATGTTCTCAATTTTTTTTTTGAAGTGTTTTATCATCAATTATCTATTAATTTTCACATTGTATGTCGAAATGCTATTCATCCAAAATGTTTGTTATGAGTGCCAAAAAAAAAATATTTATCTCTCATATTTTTAAATAACCAAAATAAATAACTAATACAAAAGTTAAACAAAATATTTATCCATCTTTTTAATGCACATTAGTAGAATTTTTGGATGAAAATCGTGATTAGAGGCAAGACATATTAACTAATTGAAAGTTAAAACTGATAATCCGACGAGAAAAAATGTTGAGATCATAAAAGCAAAAGTAAGCAAATACTGTAAACATTTCTTGTAATTAAATTGTGGTGCAATTAAATAATAATAATAATAAAATCCATCTCTCATCCATCCACTAATATTTATCTTCATTAAATACTTTTGAACATTTTATATTCTTTCAGATTTTATGTTTAACTTATGAATAATGCTATATGTACATTAACCATGACAACTTGGTTGGCATTTCTCTTTACGTAGAGAAAATCTGTACAGTGATATGATGGATGAGTTCAAAATCAAGAGTGTAGATGTTGCCAAGTGGAAAGAGTGTAAGGGAAGGTGTAAGAAAAAGTGTAAATGTAACAAGATTGTAGACATAGTTCAAATAATTATTTCAGACAACCAGTTTTCTTATCAGATCTTTTCTTTCCCAAGATGAAACCTGTGAAGCAATGATGAGACCTTTAAAACGAACATAACATACCAATTCATGACATTAAGCACATATAAACGATAGAGTTTATTGTAAGATCAATACAAAAATATATAAATGATGTAGGAAACATACTTTTCTCATCTTTATATACTACACTTTATATCAATGATGTAGGAAACATACTTTTCTCGTCTTTATATACTACGTTTTATATTAATGATGTAGGAAAAATAATTGTCTTTATATACTACATTTTCTTATGAAGGATTTCCCATCTTCTTGAGAAGGCAAAGCAATTGTTTTCATATAGATAATCAGTTTTAAAAATAATACCAACTTAGATAACTAAGCTCTGAAATTGCCTATATAGAGAACAATCTGGTTTTCCTTTCCTTTTGCTTTATTCACAATTTTGTCAATTACTCTCCCTTTTTTCTAGCTTTAAAATGGGATAAAAATATCAAATTGGTGTGCATATTATAGTGTTTAAATGAATGAATTTTAGTCCATGTTTCGGCTCCATCATTTTAAAAATGCATTTGTCCAAAACTCATTTTCAACCACACATTATCCCATAAAATGATGTTATACATAAATTCAAAACATTATCTTATTTTTAATCACATATTTTTCTAGAAAATCACTATTACAAAACACCTTTTCTCTCAAAATCTCATTTTAATGGAGTCCAAACAGGGATTATAAGGACAATATTATAATGTAACGTAGATGAATATAGTATATATAAAAAAAAATTAATATTTTAATAAGAATAATTTAGTGTGACACATCTATATTATGTTAAATATCATATTAAGTAAGAATCACTTTTTGGATGATTCTAACCTTCCTATAATTCAATTATTTCAATAATACTTTACTTTTTGTTTTTCAATATGTATTTAATATATTTAATCATTTAAACAATATTATAGATTCATTTCATTTGATTGTCTAGTAAATTAAATTCATTAAAAAAATTTTTTTGAAACAAAATATGATCTTATGAGAGTTTTATTCCAATTGATTTATTCAATGAATATAAAAATGCAAAGAAGGTAAATGGGGGACATAATGTGTATATATAGTACTCCATCCGTCCCATAAAAGTAATCCTGTTTTTTTTTCGTCTGTTCCAAATTACAGTTATATTTCTTATTTGATAGTGTAGTCAATATATTGGTTTCCTAATATGCCAATATTTAGCGTGCTTTGTTATTACAAATATAAATCACTCCATTATTTAATTGTTGTTGAAACAATAAATTAAAAACTAAAAAATATTTCATCTTCCATGACATTTATTCATTTGTATTTGGAGTATAAAAAAAGGCCCACAATCATAAATTTGTCATCGTTGTTAATTACCTTGATTCTAGCATTAAACAATGACCAAGAATATTGTATGCAAAATTTAATTACTTCAAATATTAATTGCATTAATGTAGGGATATGATAAGAAAAATAATAGTAAAAATAATTATTTTAACTTTATTAACTACATTTTCTTAATTAGTGAGAAAAAATAAATACTATCTTTATGGAACGAATGGAATAAATGATTTCAATTAATATATTTAATGCATATTAAATGAAGATGAAGAAATTGTAGTATTTGTTGGATATTAAATTCATATCAAAAGAGCAAACGAATGGATTATTATAATTGACCCTCTCAACTATTTAAATTATTTTCACAAATTAGATGTTATTCACACATTTTCAAATATTACTTTTACAGTGACCTATTTGAGCCCCATTTTAGCTATAGAATATATTTTAGAATATTACATTGATGGATATCGTATAATTAAAAAATAAGAAAACTTTTAGATATATTTGTAATATTATTTTATTAAATAATGTGTTATTAAAAAAGAAAATTTTTTTTAAAACTAATGGGATCCAGCAACGGTCTATAAAGCATTTTAGAATAATATTCATAACATGTTCCATTTTGATTGATACATAGAAGAAGGGATGGCCTGTTGGGACATATTTTACGATTTACCTCTTTCACAAAGTTTTAGGAGTGGGACGATGGGCACCCGAAGGTTGGGGTTGAAATAAAAGTAAGAAAAAAGAAAAAATGGAAAAAGAAAAGTAAACTTCATATAGCATCCGATCCACCCTTTCTCTCTCTCTCTCTTCTGAAATTTCTGCAAAGCGAGTTTGCTGGCTTGGAAGCTGGTACGGACATCAGTGGGCGGGCTAGGTTTCTTGCTTTGGGGTTTTTACTAATCTAGCGACAGGCTCGGCACACTAAGGTAAACAGGTCTGTGTAGCCGTTAAACCCTCTTTTCTTCACATGGATAATCACTAATCAGTGCATGATTAGAAATGGTTTTTCTGTAGGGCAGTGAAGTGAATGGGGAGTAGGGTTCCGGTGGAGCACTATGATTTGAGGACGGCGGCCAATTCATATATTGGTAGCTCATTGAATGATCTCAATGTCGGTGATGACGTGGACAGAGAATCCGATGAGGTCGCAGTTGAAAGCTTAAGTAACGACGCATCATCCGCTGTTGTTAGTGTGAGTTTGACGCCTTAAAGTGAAACTATGAAATAAGGATAGATTATTGTGATGAAATTTGAAAAAATGAAAAGGGGTAACTTTAAAGTAAAAGAGTAAAATATAGAATTGATTACATAAACTTGAAATTTATAATTAAATATATATGATGCTTAGCGTGAATCGATCAGTGCTTGGATTTAAAATTTGTTTCCCTTGCTCCAGATTCCAAGCTCAAGAATTCTATCCTTTGCAGTCTTGTTTTTGTTGAAAATGACCCTGCTTGGTAGAGATTCTTCAAGACCCGTTTTTCCTGAAACTCGTTTTTGAAAACACATTCTTACAATAAAATAAATTTGCACGTGCATCCATAACATTTACATAGTTTTTAATCTATTCTAAAAAAATCTACATTAAACTGACCTATGAATGGTCTTTTAATCCTCTATTTAATTAATTAAGTTTTCTGGAAGTTGATAATATAATACGTGATTATCTTCTGTCCCATTTTCTGGTTCTACTGCTGTTAGTTTTTAGTTACAAAATAAATATTTTTCTTGTATTGTTATTGTATTTTACTCTTCTTTTATTTGTTTATAATTATTCACACTACCAGATTTAATCAAATCACAGTTAGCTAAACTTATTATAAATCCGGCATACTCTTTTATTAGTTACTGAATATTATTATAGAGGCCTAGTAATAGAAATAATGATGGTATGTTTTACTTTGAAGTATTATTATATTCTTCCTGCTTTCTTTATCTATTAGACTGACAAGATCTCTGGTCCTTTCTAGGATTGTGATCTCTTCTAAGAGAATACAAGAAAATTAGGTTGATATAATTTTTGCATTTTCTTATGATCATGACATGGTTGCCTTTGACTCCCCCAAACCAGTACCCTGAGTTTGCACTGCAAATAATTTTGGGCATAGCTGTGAATCCTAGTCCATGGAGGGAAGATTTGTTTTATTATCACATTATTTGCTTGAAAATCAGGGAAGTGAAACTGGATATTGTTAAATACAATTTTTGATGTAAATGAGAATTTTGTACAGATTTATTACTTGGCATATGATAAGGCGAAAATGATGCTTCAGAAAAATCGTCTAGTGCTGGAGAAGATTGTGGAAGAACTGCTACAGTATGAAATCTTGACAGGAAGGGTATGTCTTTCAATTTCGACGGTGAAACCAAGCATTAAGTTCAAGGACTGCTAGATTGAATAGGCAATTGTTCTTGGTCTATTTTGGATCTATTAGCTGAACTTCTTGGCCAAACTAATTTGCTTTACGGGTCGGGGATTTAATCTTGCAGTGTTACGTTGTAAATATGGAGAAGATTTTTAGTGATGTCTCCTCATTGCCATTAGTTTCATCCTAGTGTGGTCTTTGCTTAAACTAGGACTTATTCATTGTCCCAATATGCTTAATATTCCGTTTGTCTTTCCAAAACTTCTTTCACCAAATGAGTAGAATACTATTTGCAGCCTTCTTTCTGTAAACAAAATGCTAAACTGTCTCATTATCTATATGACTGAACCTGAATTCCATGAACATCTCAAATGCTTTAGAGAGATGACTGGAAGAATGCTCCTAATGCACTTTGAGGATGCATTAGAAGTAAACATTCCTGTGATTCTCAAAGTTAAATCCCCAAATCATTTTATCGACTGAAGGCAGAGCAAAAACTAAAAAAATGAACTCAAAAAAATAGAAAGAAAGAAAGAAATAGTGCAGAGAAGGGATGTGCAGACACTGTACGTGTGTGTTTCTATACACACAGGTAATGGTGTTTCTTATATTAATCTGTTTAAATTCTAAGGATTTCCATGACTTAAGTAGCAAGATCCTATTTTTATTCTTTTTTGGAATATCGACAAGCTCATCCATATTTCTGCAGGATCTCGAAAGAATTATTGCAGACAATGGTGGGATTCGAGAAAGAGAGCCATTTTTTCTTTCAAGTACCAGTGCTGAAGAGGTATAGTTTCCAAGCTGTACATGAAATACTGAAATTTGATTTCACTCGCATATCATTCATTCTGGAATGGGAGGAAATGTTGCTATGCTGGGCTCAGCTTCTAAAATTCACTCTGTAGAAGTAAAAGAAACAGAAAAGAGTAACCTATTTTCATTTTGCAGGCCGTGGTTAGTAGACTTCTCGATGAAAAATCATCGGGTACTGCACTTTTAAATGCCGCCAACTAGTGTCGAAAAAGATGTCGGTCGAGTTTCATGTGCGCTTGGATGCTAGTCGTTCCACCGGATATAATTATAATACAGGCATAGTTCAAGAGTAGGGCTGACGAGATTTTTCAATTTTCCTTCACAATACTTTTTGGTTTTTCTCCCAGTGTTGTTTGTACATAATTATGTATTCTAATGACATGTTTGGTAAGGTAGAGTGGAAAACGATAGATTATGCATTTATGATTGATATGTAATAAATATTTGGAGCAAATAAAAAACATAACCCCTCCCTTTTTAAAAATTTTAGAAACTTTCGTTGACATTTAATTTTTGTAACAAATGCTACATTTCTAATTTTACTCTTGTATTTTATTAAAAATTTTATTGTTCTGTTTAAACTATTTATTTCCTTTTTATTTCATAATTTATACTCTTTCATACTTTTCTTTTTGATGAAACCATTTTAGTTAAAAGAACACCGTTATAAATCTTATATGAAATTTGAAAAATTATTAATAAGATTTTTTTTTTATTCAAATATGATTGATAAATAATTAACAAATCAACATGAAAAATGTTTTATAAATATTTAATAAATCTAGTTAAAAATTTCAATACCATGACAAGTATTGTTATAAATAAATTTATTAAATCATGTTTCAAGTACAAGAGTTTTAATAAAGCCTGGTGAAAATCATTAAGTACAATAGTAAAATAATTAACAAATTAACTCTTAGCATAATTTAAAGCATCTTCGTTAGTGATTATGAGATAAGAAGGCAAAAATGATGGTGGGAATAGTAAAATAATGGTAAAAAAATTGATTTTTTGGGATGTAAAATTGCTACGAAAGGGGGGCTTTATAAAGCTAGTTGAAAATCCTTAAATGTTTTCTATTTCATATTTGAGTCGTATTTTCTCTAATTTTTGAATTTTTTACGCCCCTTATAATTATAAAGATGCAAAAATATCGCATTAAATGTTTAAATCCTACATTCTTTTTATTTCATCTTTTATTATTGGATCATCAAAAATATTTTTAAGTCTCCATTTGGTAGAAATTAAAATCTAAATTTTGATTTAAGTTAAAATTAATAATTAATTTTAATTATATATTTCATGATATCCACAACTTTTTAACCACATATTTCATTAATTTTTATCAAAATCTGCTAAAAATTTTCATCAAATAAGAGCTAAATAACTTTATACAGAAATATAAAAATAAACTTTTAAAAAATAATTTAATTGTGTAAATTAAAATTAAGGGGAAAAAAAGGTAAAAAAGTAAATGTAATCACATAAGTAAGTATAATATAAGAGGGAAAGACAAAATAAGAAATTTATGTTAAATAGTGGTTGTTTTCGAAATTTCTGAAAAGAGAAAAAGTGTCTCTGCGATATTATAAGTTTTAGGGGAGGATTCTAAAATTTGCCATTAATTTGCATTCATTGGTGTTTGAGCCTCATTTGGAGTGAAAAAAATGAATTTTTGAGTAGTGTATTGATAAGAAATTTGTGATTAAAAAATAAAAAAGTTTTTTGAATTTGCGTGTAATATTATTTTATGATGTGTGATTGAAATTATGTCAAAATACTGTAGAATGATGCATTTTTTTTCCTAAGAATGGGACTCGAACAAGCTAAGAAGTAAAATTATGAAATTTCACATCAATTACAGCAAAGGTCTCAAAGTCTTCAACTCCAAGTAAAGATGCTTGTGATGAATTATAGTTCCTGAAAGTTTTAATTTCTTTTTATTTATTTTTTGTATTGGAGTTGAATTGAATATTGTTTGAGTTGGGTTTAATGTACTGATTTTCGTTTTGTGTGTTTGTGTAGAGCATATTATTTTTTCTTATTTGCTTATTGAGGAAGTTAGGCCATTTCTTGCAATTAAATAAAAAAGTTAAGAAAATCGGGTTTTATTTGCTTACTTTTCATTAGGTAAATTCTAATTGAAACATATGATCATCATACACGAATACATCTATAGCCTATATTCTATATAAAATATTTTTAGTCACTGTTTGGTAGGGATTAAAATTAAATATTTAGTTGATTTTATATAGATTCACGGAATACGTGTTTAAAATTAATTGTCGAATTTTGTTTAGATTAAAATTTAAATTTTAATCGCTACTAAACATGGGATTAATAGTAATAGTATACAGAAGGTAATTTTGTCAAAGTATACGAGGATAAGTTTATAAATGCATGTCGATCACGATGTTAGACTTTTCTATTATTAACAACAAATCGTTGACACAACAATAATTAAGGGAATTAATCAGGTCACAAAATATGAATGTTATAACAATATATAGCATGTGTGCTACGTATGATTTCTTTAATAGTACTAGTACACTAAGGAAATTTTGTCGGTATATAATGACGAGTTTATAAATATTTGTTGATCATGACAACCGAACATTTTTTATGATAACAACTAATCATCATCACGTACAAGACAACAATTGAATACAATTAATCTATCACAAAACATGAATGTAGTAACGCTTATACGGAGGAGTTACTAGAATCAATGAATTGAACCAGAACTAGAATCAATCGATTCGATCTGGCTCTACTTAAGTTCTAATTGATTCTGGACATTAAAATTGAGAACTAGTTGATTTTGTTATTGTTTTTTATTCTAATATTAAGAACCAAAAAAACTCATTTAAAAAAAAAAAAATTTATTTTTAGTGCAAAGCACCAATCATTTTTTTTCCTTATCAATTTTACAATGGTACATCAAATTCATATTCAATTTAATATTGTATTATTTATAAACTCATATACCTTGATCCATTAAATTGCATAGATGTAATTTTAGATTAATAAGAGGCTCGAATTCCTTTCATCCTTTTCAAGTTAGCATTTTCAACCCCTCAAAAGTATAAAGAATATAGAAATGATATTGGAACATGTTTTTAAAGAACTCATTCAACTTAATAGTTAAGCATTTGATGTAAATTATTGCATTTAGTTAAATTTGGAAAATGCAAATCATTAGCATCAATATAAAACGTTTTAATGAATATATTATAGAGAATTTAGATATAAAACAATTATAACTTGAAAACGTATATAGTTAGACACTTCATTTTGCATTGATTGGTGAATTCGAGAACTCAACACAAGGAACTTAGTTTTGGTTTAGTTCCAAATTAGAGATGGAACCGGTGATTCAATTTTCAAAACAACCATTGGTACTTGATTCGATTCTCTTTAGGATCGACCCAAACTGAACCACTCTCACTCATACACTTAGGGTTGTGTGATATGTAAAATTTCTTTAGAAATGCTAGTACACATGAAATCATATTAGTTTTAATGAGAACAAGTTTATAAATACTTGCTTGTTACGAAGACTACGCACTAGACAACCATTGAATTCTTGTCTACCACGTGACCAAACTTTTCGATTAATTAACAACTAAATGTTTGTTTTGGAGAATTATTTGAAGGGGAATTATTATTATTATTATTATTTTTTTGTGAATATATTGTTAAAAAGTAGAAAACAGTAATGCATTCACATGCAAAATTATTTTACTAAAAAAATTGTGTAGTTCAAAATGAATTTGAGGAAAATTGATTTTCAAATTAACTTTAACGAACAAAAGCTAATTGTCACACGCACACGACAACATCACAAAACACATTTTTTACATAAATGTTTTTAGCAATATTTCTTTTAAATGGAACATAATCAGGTTTAATAAAGGAAGCTACTATTTTCATCTACCATTCTCATATGGCTAAATATATTCACACCACATTTTTAATTAACCACACCACATTTTAATTACAATGAATATCCCTAAGTTTATCTTATTTTCACACTTATGTTCTCAATTTTATTTTTTTTGAAGTGTTTTATCATCAATTATCTATTAATTTTCACATTGTATGTCGAAATGCTATTCATCCAAAATGTTTGTTATGAGTGCCAAAAAAAAAATATTTATCTCTCATATTTTTAAATAACCAAAATAAATAACTAATACAAAAGTTAAACAAAATATTTATCCATCTTTTTAATGCACATTAGTAGAATTTTTGGATGAAAATCGTGATTAGAGGCAAGACATATTAACTAATTGAAAGTTAAAATGACAATCCGACGAGAAAAAATGTTGAGATCATAAAAGCAAAAGTAAGGAAATACTGTAAACATTTCTTGTAATTAAATTGTGGTGCAATTAAATAATAATAATAATAATGTTGTATGAATATAATTACCCTTCTTATATACTTATCTTTTTTTTTTTCAAAAAATTATATTACATTTTTAACCTTATGTAAATTTACTTAAATAGACAATAATAAAATCCATCTCTCATTCATCCACTAATATTTATCTTCATTAAATACTTTTGAACATTTTATATTCTTTCAGATTTTATGTTTAACTTATGAATAATGCTATATGTACATTAATCATGACAACTTGGTTGGCATTTCTCTCTATGTAGAGAAAATCTGTACAGTGATGTGATGGATGAGTTCAAAATCAAGAGTGTAGATGTTGCCAAATGGAAAGAGTGTAAGGGAAGGTGTAAGAAAAAGTGTAAATGTAACAAGATTGTAGACATAGTTCAAATAATTATTTCAGACAACCAGTTTTCTTATCAGATCTTTTCTTTCCCAAGATGAAACCTGTGAAGCAATGATGAGACCTTTAAAACGAACATAACATACCAATTCATGACATTAAGCACATATAAACGATAGAGTTTATTGTAAGATCAATACAAAAATATATAAATGATGTAGGAAACATACTTTTCTCATCTTTATATACTACACTTTATATCAATGATGTAGGAAACATACTTTTCTCGTCTTTATATACTACGTTTTATATTAATGATGTAGGAAAAATAATTGTCTTTATATACTACATTTTCTTATGAAGGATTTCCCATCTTCTTGAGAAGGCAAAGCAATTGTTTTCATATAGATAATCAGTTTTAAAAATAATACCAACTTAGATAACTAAGCTCTGAAATTGCCTATATAGAGAACAATCTGGTTTTCCTTTCCTTTTGCTTTATTCACAATTTTGTCAATTACTCTCCCTTTTTTCTAGCTTTAAAATGGGATAAAAATATCAAATTGGTGTGCATATTATAGTGTTTAAATGAATGAATTTTAGTCCATGTTTCGGCTCCATCATTTTAAAAATGCATTTGTTCAAAACTCATTTTCAACCACACATTATCCCATAAAATGATGTTATACATAAATTCAAAACATTATCTTATTTTTAATCACATATTTTTCTAGAAA